GTTTTGGGTTTTCCTACAGTACCCTGCTCAGGTGGGATCTGCCATCGTTGCTGCAGCAGTTTACAGGCTCAAAGTCTTGCAGTTGCACACACCTTTGCACTCGCCTCTGAGATCACCTCGCAACAGCCATGGACGCCGTTCCTCTGACAGCGTAGCTGGGCCAGAGGGAGTGTAGACAAGCCACTTCTGGCATGCTTGACGTGTTATTGAATGCTTTCTCATGGCATCTGTCTGTTCTCCCTAAGGCTGTTTTGGTCTGTTGCACTGCAGTTTATGCCTTTCGTGGTCTTGAAGGGCTGTTCCGGATTGAAACTTTCAGGCTTTTTAGGTCGAGCTCGCGTTCGTGCGCTCTGAGGTATTTTGCCTTGCCCCCGAAGGGTTGCCACGATTTTTTAGAGTCTACGATTCTACGGATGCATACTGTCGCATGCTTCAATCCCGCAGTGCTAGGGCATAATTATTGAGTAGAGCACCAGAGACTAAGTGACCGTAGTGGCGCACGAAGCTGGGAAATCAAATGGCTCTAGATTCGAAGGATTGGAATTTCAGCGTGTGGACAACAGCAGCACTGGATGACGGCTGTGTAGAGCTGATGTGGAATTCTGTAGAATTTTGTTGACGGCCACTGCAGGCTCTTTTCAGACTTTTATGCTGCACACTATTGCCGTCGACTGAAACCGGGCATGGTGGTGTGATCCACTGCGGAGATTGCTACCTTGGATCCTCAGTAACGTGCCCTCAATCTCTCGATCTCCAAGGCAGGATCGACTGTATGACGCGGTGACAGCCATCAACCAGGTGAGGGGGTTTGGCAGTGAGGCATAAGGCTTTGGGCGAGGGGCGTCTGACGGCTTCAGGGTTCAGTCAGGTTCCTGGACTTAGAGAATCATGATGTATGTAGCTCACTCATGGCAGAGGCATGTGTGGCCAAAGCAACGCCTTTGTAAGTGAAACGTGTGTACTGACACCTCAGTTTTTTGATAAATAACATACCACAGCCATGGCAGGTGAGAACTGTTGGTGATCTTGGTATAGCACTGACTGACAAAGTTCACGAACAATTTCTCGGAGTGTCCTGGTTAACATTTCCTAACCACTGCCCATGTTTTCTGACTGTCAGCATGGTCGTAGCTGCTACTGTGGCACTAGTAAGGCTCTGATGTTTTGCGATCAGCATCGCCATCATGATTCTTGTTGTTGATCGTTGGTCATAGTGATGGTTGTGGCTGCTCCTCTGGTGGCCAGCCGTCTGGCTACGGATGTCCTTCTTGCCATTCTTACAGTAGCCATCGGCCCAAACCGTCTACTGTAGCTAGGAGGGGCGACCTGCAACCGCCAACCCCTAAGCTGGTTTGGATACTTCTGCATCCTGACTTCAATCATGCCATGCAATGAATCAGCCACGCAAGTAGCGAAATCGGTAAACCCCAGATCCAAGATGTGAGATCCAAGATGTTAGGGGGCGAGGCTTAAGATTGGTACTTCATCCCTCGTTCCAGTAGGTTAAGTTGCCTCCCTGCCCCATAGGAAGTTGCGACTACAGGAATGCCTCGAATGTGGGACACAGCTTATCCCATACGATGCAAGTCAGAAGCCACATGTAGGTTTGTGGTTTAGCTGGGAGGTGTCAGCCTCTGTCCAGCCCATGACCTGCCGCAGGTGGCTGACGACCTCAGCCGGCGGCTCCAGACGGAGACGTCGCTGGGCACAAACAAGTTCAGTCTTAGAAGGAAACATGTTTTTTAGGGTTCAGGTTGTGATCGTGAAGACATGGCTGCATCTTTGTGTTTCTGCGCGTGTGTATGATACTGCTGGCCTCCAAGCGTGGAACATTATGGACGGTCTGTTCTTTGTTTGGGCCGCCCAAAGCGGCACACTCCGTTGCATGCAGCCAGGGCTGCATTTCTTTCAGCTGAGACTATTGGAGGACACATCTTCATTGGCTGTGCTGTCTTGGCCATAAAGACTTTATTAGTGATGTTTGTCCCACTGTGCTTCTCAGGACATGTACGGGATTAGGAATGGCCTGTCGGGGTAGACGTTTGTTGCACAGAGTTGATAGAGCGTGCCTTGGCTCCTAGACTGAAGATGAACCCTCCTGCACTTAGCCGGAAACACGTCCAGATGTGTTTACTGCGAACGTACGGCCAGCGCTCCTGTGCAAAAGCTCGAATCGAATTCACGCACTTTTCACGGAAACAGTGCATGGCCTTGCACTTACTATGCCGTTGTCGCAGCTTGTCTCCATGTTTACCTGCATGCTATATCTTTGCCAAAACTGCGCAAGCTCCACCGGGCCTTTCGAAGCCCTCACAACCCTGAACCTCAAACCGTAGACTTTGGGTGAGGCAAACTCCTAGTCCTGAGTGCGCTTCCCGTTGGGATCAGGGTTCGATGGGGTGTTGATGGGTAGAGTTCGGGTTTAAATCCTGATGGGAAGTGATCCGTTGTGATCAGTACCAGCTTGGAACCTTGCGCTGCTGTACGGCCATGCAAGTGGCAAAAGCCGTAGACCTTGACCCAGGGAATGCACGGACAGTGTGGACCTGTCGGATGCGCACAACATCGCGCAGATCATCCAAGGACCCCACAAAGCTTGTGAGCAGTCGTATGGCAGTATTCGCTGTGTTGTACCTTCGTGGACAGCCAATGTCAAAGGTGGCAGTCCAGGGTGCGACTTCAACCTCTTTGCAGCACGGTCTGGTTGCAAACGCTCACCACTTTTGTGGTAAATATCATGGTTGCAAGATGTGGCAAGCCTTTTTGACTTTCAGCGCTATGTGGTTTCCTCGTCTCGGGTGATAGACCGCCCCATTGCAGCAACGACTTGTTGCACACACGCACATCAGGAGTTGGCTTCATGGTCCTTGCCATGTGGCTGATCTTCGCGAACAACTCAAAGGCCAGAACCCATCTGCGGCTTCTGATAGAATTGCCGAGTAGGCGGGCAATCGCTCATTCCAATTGTTTGGATGGTTGCGCTCTTTGCGGTCAGCATTTGCGTGCACCTGCTTCCTCTTCCCGCGCTAAACCCTACACTCGTAATTATAACACGCGCATGCACTTCTTGTCCAGCACCTAATCATTGAGCACTGAGGATCAGACCCACTTGGTGCGGCTAAATCCAAGGTGAGTATGTAGGGATTTCAACCCGCGAGGGTTGTACCCTTGTGTTGAGGGGAGACTGCATTGAGTCCTTTCAGCGGTAGGGCCTTGAGCCTACCACATTGGAGTCGTTGAGAATAAATCGCAGGGTGTTTTCCAGAGGACTCATCCAGACAGAAGCCCCCAGAACAGCCCGGAAAGCCGCTTATTAAGCCCTACCCCACATAGTAGTATCCTTGTTGTAGGAAGGGCTTGAGAAGTCAACAAGTTGTGCCCCAAACGGCAGATACCCCGAACCAACACTCCCTGTATTCAGCAATGTCAACGCAGCCTGTTGCAGGTGGCTGTGGCTCAAAAAGCTCCTCTGGAGCAGCGGCACCAGGCTCGCTCTGGTTGTTTCCCTGCTACTTAGCCGACTTGACGAGGCCCTTATATCCTCTACTTTGTGGGTCTTGTAGACTTCCTATCGCAGGCTTAGATTTTTTTTGTCTCCGTGGGGGTGCTATATGCCATGATGTCAACTGGGGTGTTCATGCCTGAATTTTCTGAGAGGTTATGCGAGGGTTTATATCCTTGGCTAGGGCCATTGACGAATTTCTGAATGAACTCTGCGTGATCTCGAGCACGCCTAGCCAGCGAGGAAGACTTGCTTTGTCCTTGACAGTGGCTTCAGGTAACCAGGTTTAAAGTCTTTGAGGCTTGTGATATTCGATCAGACTAATATCGTGTGTTACTCTGACAGCTGTCTGGAGCTTCTGGGCAGATTTGCGCCACCATCAGTACGGCGGTGGCTCTCTTCTCTGGTTTCTTCAACATCCTGCAGCCACTAAGCTGCAACGGCTCCCGGCAGATGCGAGTAGGAGCAGAAATGTTGGATGGGCACTGTTGGGAATTGGAAGTTTAGGCATTAAAGGAGCACGACGATTGCAACGGTCACTTTGGATTTAACGCTTCCATGCCCAAAAAATGGGGCTGGCACATTGGAAAGATTTTTCTGATGTGCCGGCCAAGGTGCAGAAGCTGTGTGGCGGTTAGCTGATGTCTAAATGTTGACGCATACGCAGCAAAGCTGATTCGAAAAAGCCGTGGGGGATAAGGTGAGGCTCAACTCCAGGAAGCTTAATAGAACTGTGGCTGTGTAGATGCCTCGAGAGTATGGTATTGTTGGAACTTGATGTTTTGAAGCGTTTTTGATGAGGGACAGGTGACTTGCTAATTCTCGTTCCCTCACGCAGCCCTCAGAGAACCCGATTGTTTCGCAGACGGGTGAAACGGCTCCCGCGGCCTCTGGCAATGATAGAGTACAAGTACAAGGATGGAGTAGCCTTTAACCCTTCTTAGCATTCAACATCCTCTTCATTTCCTCTAGCCATAGCTGTAGACTGTAGCATCGGTATTACAAAGGAAGACTTATCTCGGTGGGGGAGGCGCGCTTTTGTTGGAGTGAGGGGGACATGGTCTCTTGGCCAGACTCATCTGATGTATACATGTGGACGAGCCATGTTCTATCTTAAGCCTTGCCAAGCTGTAGGCAGTATGACTTGACTCCTCTTCACCTCAGACTGATACACAGAGTCCTCATACTCCTCATTGACCGCCACAGGAGGTGGTGACATGCTGACGAGAGGTCCATGATATCAGACAAAGTTCTGGACTTGCTGCAAAGCAGCCAGCGGTACTCAGTGGACACTGACGCAAGCTTCATGCTCCTACCCCTAGTTCTCCTGTTACTAAGAATATGAAAGCAACCACTTGTTTTGAGTTTTGCTATGGTCGAGACGTTGCGCGTGCCTTCGTATGATAGCACTTTACCGACTCTTTGAGTCCCACAAGTCAGGGTCACATGGGTAGAACTATTCAGCTAGTCTCTGAAGACCTCGTAGACAAAAGCTCTGATGATCTTTGGGACGATCCAAAGGCTGACAGCCATTGACGATTTCGACCTCCCCGGGCGCGAGAACAACTTCACACTCAACTTGTCCCGTTCCTTGGGCCTTACGGGCTTTGGCTTGTCATATAGGGATATTGAGGTGTGAGGCTTGCCTCGTGGCTCTGAATTGCTTCGGCTGTGCGCCTTCATAGGTCCTAATATAAAAAAAGGAGGCGTGGGCTCTTTGTGGAGTTTTTGTTCCGTCTGGCTAATGCCAGCAAGTCCGACATACTATTCGGGTTTTTGTGGGAGCTAGGACCGATTAGACGATGCTGCCGCCGCCGCCGCCGCCGCCGCTGCTGCTGCTGCTTGGGAATTTCACTGGTTTGAGCTCGAGCCACATGATCTCTTTTACCGACTTTCCTCTGGAGCCCGAGTCCTCCTCGCCTACTGTGCAAGCAGGCATCCGTTTTTTTTTTGCATCTTGCAACGGGGCCACCTTGATCCAATTGCACGCTTCTTGTCGCATCCAGGATGCAAGTCTCATAAGTGCGGTCCAACGATTCAACGCCCAGCCAGAGTATGTTGGGATCTGCACCTGGCATGGTTGCACACGGTGCATTCTGTCAGAAGTAACCTTTTTTGGAAGATTGGAAATGGTTGCCTGCCTGCCTGCCGGGTTGGAGTGTGCACCTGTGCGCAAGGAAAGTTCGGGGTGCACAGAGTAGTTCTTTCATGAGGAGTTCTGGAGGTAGTTTCCGTCAAAGATCTGCGCGCCCAGAGGTTGCGAGTTGGAGCTGTGAATTATCTAGTCTTCCAGAGCTTCAGGCAAAGCGAATCTTGATCAACGACGTATGTGAACATGCACATATTGGTTTCACAAGCAAGAACCCTGCTTCACAACAAGGAAGGGATCCTAATCTCCATCATGTGATCTCCAGCAAAACTCCTGTAAGCTCGGACTGCCAAAGCTGTAGATCGCATAGTCGCATAGCTCCCGTCTTCATCCCAGTCTCTTGCGTACGTACCTCATGCCCCACCAGCCCCCATGGCCTCTGAATCCGGCATTCCCCAAAGGTCCGGTGGAGTGGATCCTCACCTGCCCTATCATGCAGCTGAAGCTGGTGGTGTTGGCAGGCCTTGAGTTCTTGCTTGAGGTTTACTTCAGCACAAGGAAATGGCCTGCATACGGGGAATGTGGTGAAGATTCAGGATGAAGTGCTGAGGTCTCGCGGTAAAGGAATTCGGACAGTGTGAAGAGTCTTAGGACTCCGGAGGGGCCTAGGCCAGTCTCGACAGCTTGTATAGGAAAGTGTAGTGATTCTTGAGAAGGTGGTCCTTGCCGGAGATCTGAGAGTTGCTGGGAGTTGTTTTGGGCGTGTTCGTATTGAGACTGGAAGGCAGGGAGGTGGACCCCCAGTAGGATGTGCAGTGATTCTTAGTGCCGGTGGTAAGATCAAGCCCTACATGACCCCGACTGAGCTGGAAACTCTCTGAAGGAACCTCGATTCCATGTTTGGTTGTTGAAGTGTGCTGCGCCCAGTCGCTCCCTGTGTGGGACAGGCTCGCGTGTGCCGAGCTACCGGCGCTTCATGATGCGCCTGGTGCAGGAGTTTAGTCAGGGCATTCAGGGGATGAATTGCTAAGTCACTGGAGCGAACTTCGAGGGACCCATAGCCTGGGATACCTGCAACAAGGATGGAGACGACTTTGAGCTGCACTAGGGTTTTAATGCTTTTGAATGTGATTCGGCGAGCATTGTTGGACTGACGAGTAGTTGTTGGCTTTTTAGGAGGAAGCAGCAGGATCTTCACGTGCAGACTTAATCTACACTTATTCTTACGGTATTTTGCCTGTTCCTAGTTACTAGCTCTCATCCATGGTTACAACCCGGAAGCCGTAACCGGCATCTGGGAGTTGCCAGTTATCGTTCTTCTGAAGTTCTTCTTATGGACAGACACCTCAAACGCCGGGCTCCATCAAGAATCCTCCAAAAACGACCCTTGATGTATGGGAATCACACATCGATTTTGAAGTGCATACCCTAAAGCATGGCTCGCTTGCAGAAGGTGATGGGATGCGCACCCCATGATTGATTTGTCTCATGTATCTGTCTGTTTGAAAGCTAGTTCGTAGTAGCCGTGGCAGGTTTGACAGCGGCAAGGCACACGATACAGGTGCATCGCCTCTATTGATTGAGATCTTCCTCCCGCGAAGAGCGCTAAGGCCTCTGATGTCCGTCGCCGTCCTGCTTTGCGGTACCGCCTCCATGTTCACAGGCGAGGGGCACAGGTTTTGCGGAAGAGGTTTTCAAAATTATCATTGCCTTTTTGCCTTGTGACTTGTGTCATGCTGGGGATGAACAGAAAGATGTCAATTTGAAAAAGCGCCATGTAATAACCAAGGCTCCCTCCAGCATTGATTTAATTACGACAAATCCTATTTATCGGCCCTTGTCACTGCCCGTTGATAGTCGGCGTTGGGGGAATGGTTTGGTTGGACCGCGGCTTACGTCCCGCTGAGGGTTGACATGGTGTTGTGCAGTAGCACAAACTGCTCAGGGCCTGGAAAACAACGTGCATGCTGGATGCGTGCTGGAGAGAGAAGAATCATGTGCAGGCAAAGTGTTCAATTGGTATTAGGTGGAGCTCTGCGATTTCGAGCTGTTGAGTTCAGCGATCCAAGCCTTCAAGCTTTGAAGCTAAAGGCCTCCTAAAAAAGGGTATTAGTAGGAACTGAGCTGTTGAAGTCTGATTTTTCTAAACAAGCAAAATTAGCTTCGAGAGCCCAAGATTTCTGACAACTTAACACTAAACAAGATACCCCAGAGCAGTTAGGGGATCATGAATTATGAAGCCTCATGCAGAACTTGATATGAATACAGGTAGCCATGCAAAAGCGGCGCAGCATTAATCAGTTGGTCACCAGGCGTTTCTCGGAGGTTTTAGGAGAAATTGCTCTTGATGCTGGCAGGAAGCACTTGCAAACAAAGAAGATGAAACGGTCCCACGCCACTACCCCCAGCAGACAGCAGGCCTCATGAAACGTTTACTCAAGGGCGGACAAGAAAAAGAGGACCTTGCGTGAGTACAGCCTTCCGTCAGCCCCCAGTATCCGGCTATGCATTCCAAAAATTGGCCGTTCAACAACACACTCCTTGCCAACTTCTGCTACGAGATTGTTACCCGCATAGCCTGTGCATGATCATACGTCACCCCCGGGCGAAGCAGTTGCAGATCACAACGACGCCTCAAAGCCCACTGCCATGCCGAAAGGCTCCCCCGATAAGTTTTATACCACCTGACAAGCGCTGGGATAAGCCCCCCACGGTTGCTTCATCCTAAAGCTACACAAACCAAAAGTATGCTAACTGAGCAGCTTATGATTTTCTGTGGTCTCTATACTCTGCAGGATCCCTTGACAACTTACAGGAACCCCTCAGGCATACCTTCTGAGGGTGCCCAGCACCCCTTCACCAACAAATGTACTCCAATTTGCAGTAGGAAGTCTTGTTTCTGCTGGGAATATTTCTAAATTGGCAGCTTTCCTTGATTGAGGGAGGTGCTGGGATCTAGCAATGCTAGCACTTGAGAGGCGACGCCCTTCGGTATGCGTGGTATGCCTTCGGCGCCTCCGAGTTTATCAGTTTTGGGTTCCTTAAAAATGTGCTCTTTCATAGGGGAAGCTGTAGGTATTGGCTCATGGTGTGTCCGTAACGGCGCTGGGTAACGG